AGAGAATAGGAATAAATATCAAATGTGAAGCTAAATTATGAGTTTAATGGTTGCAAACATATTTCTAAAACACTTTGTTCCTGAACTCTAAAGCCTCTTTAAGGACATGACTTCGTTCAGACTGACAAAATATATTAGGCAGATAAAATTTAAAATACAATGATTTCAAAGGCACTGGATAAATATCTCAACACACTCATTTTTAAACAGTAATGAGGATTTCTGACTTCCTGTACTTTTAAATCTGATTGCAAGAAATCAACCGGCAGGATGCAGTTTAATACTGATTTTACACGTTTTACATGCATAAAAATCATTTGTCTTCATTAGGTTTAGTCAAGCCTCCTCCTGAAGAGATGAAACTGAAATGATCTGAGTAAGGAACAGCAAAGAAACAGGCAGTCACGAAGGATTTCTAAAGTACTCTTTATACATAAAGTCAGCATGAAAAATGGACAAACTGCAGAAACAATCAGACAAGTAGAACTCTTTCATAGATTTCAGAAACACCCTTCATCACCACAAAACGGTGGTATATAAAATAATAGTGTATTATTCTTTACATTTCAGACTAGCATGATTGTGTTTCTATTGTGTGTTTTAACTCCATAGACATTCATTTTCCAGCTTTCCTTAAAATATATATTTTTGCGAATGTTAAATGTAATTTAAAGGCATGCTTTGCAACTTTTTCATACAATTTTATTGAGCCAGTATGACCCTGCACAGGGTTGATCAAATGTCTCAGACCCCGCCGCACCCTGTAGCCAGAATATTGCACTTTCAACTTCAGAGTGGCGGGTCACCCCGTTGGACTTAGTAAAGAGGAGCTGACGTGCCAGCGCTGCAGTCTGCTTCCAGCATGTTTTAGAGCACAAACACGGCTGATTTGTTTCATTTAGTGACGCATCACTCTGGTAGAAACTAATGAAGGCTGAGGAGACATTTTCAGCAGTTAGATTAAAAAGACAAATGCACAGCGTGGAGACATGTTTCACTTTTGGCTTTGCAAACTGAACACTAGAGGGTGCTCAAAGCCAAAACTACAAAGTATCCTTTTGAAGTTGTTCTTTCCTCACATCATCAGACCAACTTGAATGTTTTGAAACAGAAATGGGAGCTGGACCGGGAAGTTGGGTTATCGGAGAAGGTCTGGCACAAAGCTCTCTGTATGATACAGTTTAATGTGGTGCGCCGTCAGCATTGGCCCAAAGACCAACCATCTAACCTGGACTTGTGAGCGTGGAAGACACACTTTCATTTGTTCTGGACCTGCCCTGCAAGGACATTGGGAGTTTATCTTTAATGCACTCTCCAAGACAGCGGGGACAGAAGTAGCTCGGGAAGTAGAGCAGGCTGTCCAGTTATTGGAAGGCTGCAGGTTCTACCCTGGCTCTGACCAGAGAATTCTGCTGTTGAGTCCTTGGGCAAGACGCTTAACCCACCTTGCCTGCTGGTGGTGGTCAGAGGGGCCTGTGGCGCCAGCGTTTGGCAGGCCTCACCTCTGTAAGTGCACCCCAGGGCAGCTGTAGTTACATTGTAGTTCATCCCCACCAGAGTGTGAATGAGTGAATGACTGATTGTGTTGTGAAGCGCCTTGGGGGCTTTCATAACCATAAGAAGGCGCTATACAAATACAGGCCATTTACCATTTGTAGGACCACTGTGCGCCCGGACCCCTTGACCTGTCTATTTGTGTTCCTCTTGGACTCTGGACTCATTTCGAGTTGTATGAAAATGTCCCGGGGTTCGGGACCTCAGGGTCAAAGTACTTTGTGTTTAGTACCGATTTGACAGATGTCCCTCTCCCCTTGGATCCTGTTCTCTTATTAAATGATAACTCACGGCTATCACATATGGAGAAAACCTGTAGAATCTGGCTTGCATGCAGGATTAGCTGCAATGAAGAAACACTTAGCTCAAAGATAGCCTGACAACTTTTTTTGTGCACAGACTTCGAGTATTTATGGACAACAAGAATCATTAATGCAACTTCAGATTCCACGGCCTTTTGGATGAACATAATAGGCAACCTTAAGAGAAAAGTTGGCGACTAGAGTGGGACGTTCTGACTGGTGAACATGGGGGAAAGTGGTAGGGAGGGTAAGGTAGTTGATAATATGTTATAAACAAAAAATTGTTGTTGGTTGCTTTTTGTGTTTTATTGTTCTTAAAGAGCAAGTCACCCCCAAATCAACAATTTTTTTCTGATAAACTATATAAATGTGTGTCTAATCGTGCTGCAGACACGTGTCGTCAATAGTTTTGCACTTCAGTGCACTTTAGTTACAATTTAAATTTTCTGCCTGAAACTGTCAGTGTTGTGCCGTTGTCAGGTAAAAACTCTTCACTGCATTTGAATTTAAATCTGCCACCGCTATTGGCTAAGAGGTATGCTATGATGTAAACTGGTACATTATGATGTCACAATGTCGTGAGTGTGTGTATTTGTTAGTGGCTCCACCCTCTCGGTCTGCTAGGCAACAGCATTTGTTGCATTTTTCAAACAGGAAGTGGGAGTGGAGTACGCTTCTTGTAAGGGGTGACTTGCTCTTTAAGCTTCCAAATGAAAAGATCTTATGAAAAAAGGCTGAGTACCCAGATTGTCCCAACACTTGAACGAATGATGAAATTGAGATAAATGAAATTGAACATTCAGATAAAAGGTAAAGTCCTGATGTTTTCTGCTAAAATAATGTTCAAATTATCATAATTAGAAAGACAAAACACAGGAAGTATTTAGTTTTAAAACAGAGAAACCTAACCACATCCCTCACTCCTGAATCATTTCCTGTACTTTCTTTACACCCCTCATTGACATTAACATGTGTCCTTTACATAAATACACCTTACTGATTTACAAATTGTCTAACAAGCATCCAGGTCATAAAACACGCGCGCACACACACACACACACACACACACACACACACACACACACAAAGTCTACTGGACATTCAGGGTGCGAGCAGACACTCCGTGGTGCCAGTCTCTCAGCTCGTTGTACTTGGGTCCGATCACCAACCGAGTGGTGGTCTTGTTCACTCTGTCATCCATCACACAAGAAGAAAAGGACAGAAGAAGAAAAGAAAAAACACCAAAGAGAGACATGGGAGACTGATTTAGATCAAGGAGAACGTTCATCCTGGAAACTACAATCTTTTGAACAAAGATGCACGCAGATGAAGCCGTTACCACAAAGCCGATGGTGCATGACAAACACCAGGAGTTAGAAAACATGGAATGCATCACCATGACACAAAGAGTACATCACCCAATGCGAGGCTTGATTCGCGAGCAGCAGAGAATGAGCGGATCAAAGATCACACTGACACCAACAGATGGGAGCAAAGATTACAGGTTAGCATGAGTGATCCCAGGAACAGGCTGACCACACGTAACACCACAAAACAGCAGCACCAATGGACAGCCGATGGAACACACGTCACACGAGAAGACAACCAGGCCAAGATTTCCAACTATGGATTATTCACCACACACCAAGGCAAGGCAAGGCTATCAAATCCACAACACAACAGTCAGAATGACAAAATCCATCTCTGATTGATACACATACGTAGACACATTCAGTCACTCACGCGCGCGCGCACACACACACACACACACACACACACACACACACACACACACACACGCAAATCAAATACCAGTTTGACAATCAAAGATCTGGGCTGTTTATCAATACCAAAGTATACAAGCGCTTTCTGGACAAGTACAGAAGAGAGTTCGTTCTACCGAGTACGGGAGGAAGAGGTCAGCATTTGGGACAGAACTGTGTTCCAATTTGTGCTACGGTTTTAAAAATATGACCTGAAATAAAAATAAAAGTCTAGTTTATCACGTAAATAACAAAATAACAATTCATATGTTTTATTTGTATAATATTTGGTTCTCATTTCATCAAAATTCATAAAATACCAGCATTTCCCAGTGTTAAAGTGGCAATGTGTATATTACCTGGCAATAGGGCGCAGTACATATCTAAATCATTGCAAACAAACTGTATGTGTGTGTTCTAGTAAGACCTTACCAATGGATGGTCATTAGGGTCAAAAATCCCTGCAGCGCAACTTCCAGCAAAATGACGAGCACAGCAACCAGTGATGAGGTAAATGTGTAAAACAACAATGTTTATGAATTGTTTTGAAAACTTTTGTTACAAATCAGTATAAATCAGTTTAAATCAGTATAAATGTGTTTTGTCGTCACGGGCTCCCATGGAAGGAAAAATAAAATCTAAAATGGCATCGCCCAGAGACTTAGACCTGCTCCCCTGTATTTTAGACCCAATTTTTATGGTTTTATCTTACAAAGCTGCCAATATTTTTCAATAACTGGGCATCATTTCATTCATTTTCAACAATATTTCGATGAATAATTCCAGAGATTCATGGTAAAAACTACACATTGCCACTTTAAATGGGAAAAATGTTTTTCATCAAAACAGAGTTTTTTATGGCAATGCTGGTTTTATTTTGATAGTGAGTCGGATAATTAGCATTTTGAGGGATCATGAAGAGTGAATAAACTAAACTAACAGCTAATTTTACAGGTACACAAAACTAGCCAATAACAGACTTTATATTAATTTATTTAGATCCAATTATTTGTATTTTTGATATAAAAACATTGCAGTTATGAGTTTTCTTCTCTTCCATTTTCCGGTTTGTGGTCGAACTGTTTAAGATGCAAAACATCCTCGATAGAATGGACGGAACAAGAACACATCCAGGAACTTTGAGCGTGTACTTGCCATGATGCGTACTTAAGACTGGAACAGTACTTGGGCCAACGTTGATGACATTTCAAAAGTACGAGTGCTGAGTACATATGTTGAGAAACAGCCCTGATTTTTGACTCCAAGGATTAAATAAAACTTCTATTGCCAGCTCATCAGATTTTCTGTTTACTGCATTAATGTGAAGTTTAAGAGACATTCAGCAAACAAAGTAGAACATGTCTTATCGATATGCACTTACTTTGACTTCTTGGCCGAGTCCTCTTCTTCAGTTCGAGCTGAATGGAAATAATCATTTACAGTAATTATCAATCTAACGTACATCATTTGGGGTAAGACTGCAGAGTCATTCTAGTTTGGGTCATACCGTTCTCAGTGCCAGTGATCTGCGCCAGAATCCTGAAAGACCTGGACTGGGTGGTGCCTGTGCGTGGGCGCCAGTCCTCCGTGTCCTCCATTATACGCTTCCTGCTGGCATCAGCGTGAGTGGGCACGTGGTAGAAATGGATGTCTGTGTCCACAACATGTTTCCTGGGAACCCTGAGGATGAACAAGTGCGAGATAAAAGGGTGGAGTAGGGAAACATCCCTTTACTCTCAACTTATTAATGTTACATGACAAAAGGCAGCAAACGTGTGTGTTTATTAGCAAAAGTAAGAGGTGTATTACACATTTTATATTATTTTTTGGGATAAAAGGACTTCACCAGTGGTGGTTGGAGCAGGGGTTTTCTTAGAAACCAATACAAAAGCAAAAAATAAATTAAATAAAAAGATAAACAAGGAGTTTGAAAAAATTAAGCATCACACAAAGCACAAAGAAACAGAGGAGAAACTTACTTCAAAAGATTTTGAGGTCCACTAAAGGCGAATGATAGAAAAGATAAGAAAAAGGGGAAGAAACATTAAAAATAGTCATTTTTAAAGAAATATTGAAGTTTTATTTGTTGAAATGAGCAGAAAACAAAGTTAAACGTGTGGTTGTTAACCACTCTGAATAAAACCTGCTATGTTCCATCTTTAACCACGTGGTGGTGCTTTGGAGCCATCTAGAAATTCTAAGAGTGGCGTCTCTGTACCTTTGGAGCCACACTTTAAAACATACATATTTTAGTGCTCGCCTGCACACAAACATGCATGATTCAGCTTTGAAAGTTATTAAAGGGATTGTTGTTGTTAAAGTTGTTAAAGGATTTAATATATGTGCAGAGTGTGTGAGCACACGGTGCCTGAGTGATGAGTCAGAAACTGGGTGTCAGTAAATCAAATCTCAGGATGTGCGCACACACACACACACACACACACACACACACACACACACACACACACACACACACCTGAGTGTCTCTCTAGCCTTCCCGTCAGTAAATCATCTGAAAATACACCATGTCTGACAAATTCACCAGGCTCATTCAATAGTCTCATTTATGGGAGTCTCTCAACATATGCCAGTTACAGTAGTAGCAAGGTGAGTGTTACGATTTACCACTATGATAAAAATCTACTGCTGCCTCAAAATCTGCTCCATTTAATAAATTATTTTAATGATTGTAATGAACTAAAATAGGTTGGCTGCCCTGCTGATTTATCATGCTTAATAAAACAGGAGCATGCAATTGTTGTCATGTAAAGTGTTTTTAATGCGATCAATTATTCTTTGGAGAGCAAAAAATGAAAATCGTATGTAAAACAACTAAAAAGGCAGCAAAATGCAAATGAAGTGAATCCATGCCTTTGAGGAGGGACTTCATGTTAAATGAAAACACAACACTGAGCATGATTCAGTGACTAACTTTGTGACTGGAGCTGATGCTTTCATCTGCAAAGCAGAAAAAACAAGGACTGAAGTATAGAGATCAGACATATCTTAGTATAAAAACATTTAAAGAGCAAGTTCCCTTCTGAAACAAACCACACAGACATGCATGCAAACAACATGCTGTCATTTAACGTCACTTTTCTGAAAAAGATTAAACCATGCAGGCTGGTTTAATGATAAGACCCTTGGAGCGACTTACCTGTTTTTGCACAGAGAGGGAACTTTTTTTTGAGAGTGATAATGAAAGCTACTCTAAATAGAAAAGTACAAATCTAAAAATAGGTTTTGTAAACAGGGTGAGGACAGGGAGTCATGAAACAGATGGATGACAGCGGAAGATCCGGTTAAAGCTTCGGTTTCATGGGCTTCTGGTTTTTAAAAGGGTAAATATATGTCATCTGTGATATGTGTCCCCGTTGAGAATGTGTGTGTGTGTGTGTGTGTGTGTGTGTGTGTTATAGGATAACTTTGTTGTGGACATTGCTGTGGAACCAGAAGCCAGCTATTTCTCATCATTAAGGCCAGTGCTAGCCAGAAAGGTGATTTAACACAAAACAAAGTCTAGCACCTTATGGCAACATTATTGTTATTAAGGTGATCCCCCAGAAAAGAAGATAAATCAAAGGAAGTGAGATAGGTAGCCGTGAAGGAGATGATTCTGCATTCTTTGCGTTTTAAAGAACAACTTTACTCATATGTTTATTGCATTTGCGGTGGTCTATAGTAGGAATGAATCACTTGTAAGTTGTACTCTAGGGAAAAAAAGCTCCGGTGCCAGGGCTCATTCTACTGAGGAAGGTGCTAACCCAACTAAAATACACATTTTATCAAGCTATTTCACAAAATCGGACACAAGGTACAGCAGGATAATTTAAATACAAACATAAATGAACTAAAAAAAAAGGTTATCTAAAATCCTATCAGGTAGGCTAGAAAAGTCACCACTAATCCCATGTGATTGGTTTTCAATTGTGCGCCGGTTGCTGTAACTGTAGGATGCACACAAAAGGGCATAGTTGCTCCCTCTGGAGAGTGAGGAGACCCATCCAATAAGGCAGTGACTCTGTTGCACTCTCCAGCGCCTAATGGGGCATCCACGTATTCACGTCTATGGTCAAGATGTGCTCTACTCTCTCCTGGGTGCCAAATCAGCAACAGCTTTCACCGTTGTGAGCCAAGACGGGTGAATCAATGAATGTTAATTTTCTGTGTGATGTAGATCTGACTGGCTTTTCTAATCCAAGTGTTTCGCTATTTATTGTCTAATGGTGGCTAATACAGGTAAAAGTGGTCGAAGACTATTTTCATGTTCAGCCTGTAAAACTCGGTTACCGATCTTTGTACAAAATGGTTTCTCAGTGAACTTCTTCTTTAAGAAAGTTACACAATGAATCAATCAAATCAACTAACCAACCATCCAACAAACCAATCAGTCTTTAGTATTCCTCAGGGACAGCGATACCAGTAAGAAGGACGAGAAGTTAAAGACACTTGACACCCTCAGGAGAAATGAACGACATGAGAATGTAAAACGATGCCAACAACTGACTAAATGATCAGACTTGTTAGCAAAGCCTCCACTCACCCATTAAACTGAAGTGGTAAAGCTCCACCTTGACTCTCCAACAGGCCCCTCATCTGCCCCATGGCCACCTCACACGCATTCTCAGTGGAGTACAGGTTGATGGGCGTGTTATAGACCGACGGCTGAGGCGGGACGAGGACAGGGGGGGAGGAGGAGGAGGTAGAAGATGGGTAAGAGAACGGAAGAGGTGATGGGGGTCTGGGTGGTGGAGGAAGACTAGCATGGGAGAAGGCAGGAGTGAAGGCAGAAGATTGGGAGGGGATGACTGCGGTAAAAGGTGACTGTGAAGGACAACACTCTCTCTGGGGTGAGGGTCCCCCGTAAGGTCTTGGCACCTTGTTGTAGGGAGCAGGGCAATTAGGCTGGGGGTGGGGTGGAGGAGGTGGATGAGTGATGGCTACTGGTTTTATGATGTCTGATCTGTCGCCCTAGCGGTGTGAGAGAAGAGTATGCAAAACCACTCAAAAACAAATCAAGTCAAAACACACAATACTGATGCCTTCCGGTGTGTGTAAGTAGTGTATCCAATAACGTTAAATTATACCAATTACCATGTATTATTAGGAAGAACATGTAGGATGGATCAACAGGGAGGCATCAGTAATAATCAGTGTATTTTACAATACAATCTATGAGGAAAACATGCAGCAAAACATTTCCCATTGTTTCAGAAGGGTGTAAATACCTAAAACCAGCATTTTGAGCTGCTAAAACACTGTTCTCAAAGTCAAATCAGCGATTAGTTGACTTTACAACACATCTACAGCAAAATATACACAATGCAAAAAAATAAACATATGATCTTAAAGTCTGTATGTTAGCTCCATGTATTTTTTTCTTTATTTAACATTTGAAGTGACTTTGTAATTTACTTGTTGATTTCTTGGTCTCTTTCAGAATAAAAGCTGCAGTACCTTTGGTGCCACAGGAGGGGGTTTACAGACACTGGAGGCTCTGGAAAGAAAGAAAGAGAAAAATTAATAGTTGGACCGTGCAGTTTTGTTTCATGTCAATATTTTTTACTTGGAAAACAATGAAACAGAAGAACGTCTGCCAGCACCATGTGGGGAGCATTACACCAGCTCTTCCAGAGTGTTTACTGATATTTATGGAAACCATTCTGTCAATGTTTTTCAACGCTATAGAAAAAGGTGGTCACGGTGAATTACAACTGAATTTGAGCTCTCGGTGTTAAAACCAACATCAAGAAGTTTCTGTCATCGACTCTGACAGAATCCAAAGGAGCCTCGCTGGACCTGGATGTCAAAATAGACATTTGAGTTGCTGGAGCTGCAAATGTGGTTTGAAGCAGCTGTTTTTGTTTCTATGGAGGCCTGAAACTCCTGGTGGCTTTTGATTTCGATACCTTTTAAGGCATGTTGTCTCTTCACATAATAACATTCCTTACAAGAGAAATGTGTCCTAAAAATTCATTCGACGTCCTTTTTTGTCATTTGAAAGCGATATCTCCAGACTTGACCTGTTAAAAACAGAATTTATCTCACACTAAAATTGAAATGAGCAAATTTTCCTCGGAATATAATGCAAAAAGTTGCATAGTTGGAAAATATTTATTAAGAATGAGTTTGCTTATGGTAAAGCCTGGGGCACACCGGAGGCAGACGTGCCGCGTCGCACCCATGATTTTGAGAAGTCAAGCGGTCACACAGGATGCGCTGCACCGCTGAGCGCTTCTTGGAAAGCCGCGCGATAGTCACATCACTTGAGAATAGGAAGCAGGAAGTGACTATTGTTTATACGTGATCAGACTTGCCATCGTGTTTTGCGAAACTCTAATTCATTAACAGTGGGTAAGTACGCTATTTATTAAGATAAGATAAGATAAGATAAGATAAGATAAGATAAGATAAGATAAGATAAGATAAGATAATCTTTATTGACAGACTCTTAGGTCCAGATAAAAATACATATAAAACAACAGATCAATGAAACAAAATAGATAAATATAAATAAAAAGATAACAGCATAAAATTGAATAAAAATCTAAATGTAATTAAAAACTTTATTATAAACTGTTCCACACAAGGTTTACCACACAAACACTTCAACCAGTATTTCCTTATACTGGAGAAATAACGACAACTGCTCACAGTAGGATCAGTGATTGCTAAAATTGTACTGTTGGCAGAGCTATCCAGTCGGCCTGTAAAAGTGAATATAAGTTTTCTTAAAAGTGCTTTAAAAGTACAAACGCCTGCTGTTACAAACATCTGACTGGCACTGCCCCCTCTGGGTATTTTAAGTATGATCCTTAAGGCATCATTGTATGCAACTTGCAGCTTATTCATGCTGCTTTGATTGTAGGATGACCACAGTTGGGCTGTGTAAAGCGGAGTACAATATGCTTTAAATAAAGCCACCTTAACTGGAGGTGAACAAAAACCAAACTTATGAGCTATAGTGTTAGCTTGCGCATACAGCTTACAGCACTGTCTGTGGATGTCAGCATCATCACGCATTTGATCGGTTGTAAAGTGGCCAAGGTATTTCACCTTCTCACACACATTAAGATCACTATTAGACAGTTTGAACACAGGAAAGTTTAGCTTTTTATCCTGCTTGGATAAGATCAATAGTACTTTAAAGATGTGAAAACTGTGGCTGGGTTTCTGCCGTAATGCTGTTCCGCGTCGTAATATCTGAAGTAAAGAACTCCACCATGTTGTAAACAGCCGCGGTGCCGCCGCTTGAGATAGAACTGGCGTCTGGTGTGCCCTAGGAAAAAAAGGGGGCTTGATCCTAAACAGGCGTCGCAGATTAAAAGAAACTGGATTGCAAAACTGTATTAATTTGTGTCTCACACTTAACAAGTGAGTCAATTTTTATCCCTAGATTGCTGACAACTTTCTTTTCAAATGGCTCCAGAGGGCCAAAATTAACATGAGAGCCAAAGCCATCTGACTGCCAGGACTGAGAATTATGACTTCAGTTTTAGTGTCATTCACGAGTAAAACGTTAGAAGCCATCCAGGATCTAACACCCTTTAAACAGTCCAACAGTGGAGAGACAGACCCACCAGCTCATACAATCGTATCTGCAAACGTGGGGCAGTAAAGTATCCCATAATGCACTGCATTGCAACCTGTTAAAGGGACTTTAATGAGTTTTGAACTTTTATGCTCGCGATTGCCCCCTCAGGCCAAACGCGTAACGGCAGCTTCAATAGTAGGCTCGTGCACGAGGCGCGCATGCTGTACGTGCACACTCCTTCACGAAAGTAACAGCTGAGTCCCGTGTGTGTGTGTGTGTGTGTGTGTGTGTGTGTGTGTGTGTGTGTGTGTGTGTGTGTGTGTGTGTGTGTGTGTGTGTGTGTGTGTGTGTGTGTGTGTGTGTGTGTGTGGCCCAGAGGACAGAGGACAGGACACGCAGCTAATTAATTAAATAATTTGGTTCTGTACCTTTCTCTTCAGCACAGCCGACAAAGGTTTAAGATGGGTCAGTCCTCCTGCATGCTCAGATCATTCCCTTCCTTTGCTTGAAAAATTGTTCCAAAATGAAAGTTGAACCCACATCTTTTTTTATCTGTGAATTCAATGCCATTCGGCGAGTCTCAAAATAAAAATTTGGGCATCTTACTGTAAAAAAAAATATACCATTTGTGTAAAAAAGACACTCTAAATGAACTATGTTCACATCCAGAATCAAACCCACATCTTCAGCACTAGAGTCCGACGTCTGAAGCCTGATTTATGCTTCTCCGTCTGCGTCAGTGCGGAGAAATGCAACGCCATTATCCGTCCTTGCGTAGGGCACGCAAGGACGTACGGAGTCGAGCCCACTTTTTTAAACATCCGTCGAACGAGACGGATTACGCAAGCTTGTGATTGGTCAGGACACCACTGTTGTTTACAGCGCCGCCATTGCAAAGAGAGCCGAGGATAACTAGCGGCAGACACGGAGAAGCTTGAAGAATACCTCACAAAAAAACTCTAAATATATGAACGTTTAATTCTCCCGTGACTGGAGGAGTGAAAAGATGCGCAGCAAGCGTTTTATTTGTGGACGGAAATGACAGGAAACGTAGGTTTAGAGGTGGGGAGCGCATGAAGCGGTGGGAGAATGAGAGACAAATATGTCCGTGTTAAAAAGTCTCTTATATACACAAAAAACACAATATAAACACACTGTCTTGGACCGATACATGACAGGATACCACAGAACAGCGCTACGCCCTCTGTTGTCCTGCCGGGCAATTGCTTTGCAACACTCCCCAGGAGACGGAGAAGTAAAAGAGCAAAACGCTTCCGTCAATCCGTGCGTGTCTGTCCCTTGCGGAGCTGACGGAGAAGCATAAACCAGGCTTTACAAGGTGAGCTAAAGCACCAGTGACATCTTATGTATCTGTAACATTTATATCCTTGATGACAGCTGAAATAACGTTCAAAGAACAGTTCGGAGCGAAAATGGCTATTTTGTTGCTAATTTGCAGGAAATATCTAGAAGAAAGTTCTACAGAAAGTAGCTAAGTGTCCTCAGAAATGTAGCTAGCTTTGTCACTAGGCGTTAGGAACAGCGACAAAGTTGCAATGCCTCTCTCTCTGCTGCTAAAGCTACGGATAGCAAACGCTACATGCTATGCCTGAGCGTGAACGCGCATGAAGCAGCCTGCTCGACCCGAGCAACTCTCTTTTTCTGTGATTTTACAGAAAAACAGGCAATCACAGTAAAAATGCCAGGGCTCATTCTACAGGACCAGGGCATTGCAGGAGAATGTATGAAGAAGAAATGTATTATTTCTATGCATGTTTTGGCTGTCAAACTTCCATAATGCCCCTTTAACTTCGAGCGTCAGAGGAGAACCCCAATTTAGTAGTTTCTCATGTCAGAAATACAAATAAAGAAACATAAAGCTGTCTGTTGTTACATGGCTGTGTGTAACCCGTGAAATTTGCTGTGTGTATTTGTTTTTTTTTCCATACTCCTAACAACCCCACAAAATGCTAATTAGCTAACCGATTATCAAAATAAAAATATCTTTGTCCTTAATAGCTCTGTGTTGATGAAAATAAACTTTTTGTCTTTAATAACAGCTGGAAATGCTGGTATTGTATCAACTACGATCAAAAGCTAACCAAATATACAAATTATTTGTATTCATTGATATTTTGTATTTAAGGGACAAACTAGACATTTATTTAATGTCAGGTGTTTCTTTAACCACAACTCCACAACAGAGTATGGTTCTCTTCCAAACGTCGTCCTCGCCCTCCCATTCGACTGAAAGGACTTTCTGGTGTAGATCACAAGAACTTACTGGTCAAGTTCACAAGAACGTATAGCATCCTTAAATGAGCTACCTGCACAGAAAAACGCTGTTGCAGTAAAGCGGGTAGAATCCTCCCAGTGTACGCACCCAAACCACCAAAGTTGTTTAGTGCAGTTTGTGGTCAGCAGAGGGCTGCAGAGTGTTGTCCCATGTGAAGTTGTTGAAGGCGCTGTCTCAAGAACCACTGAAACCAGTTTGAAAGCAATAGCAATAGCTAGCTAAACCTCTTAGGAGTTACTTTAATGTAAATTAAAGAGGGCAGTAACTGAAGACAAGTAAATGTCAGCAGCCCCGAGTTCCTTTCAGAGCAACGTCTCTGGGAACTCCTCAGGGAGGTTCACGTCCTTTAGCCCTGTAAATCTGAACCGGTGCTCATGTGGTGGTCAAATACACATCAGTGTACACAGATACGTGTCTGGTCTTCGTCTGACTCTTGTTCCCTGACTGTTTGCCAACAGTGTGAAAATACCGAGACTATGTTACTTCAGTGGGATAATGAGGAGACCCAAGGGAACATTGTGTTGCTAAAACTGGTCTAAATTTTTTTAAGTGATTTTCATCATAGTTTAGTCATAATCTAACATCAACATGACAAATTCTGCTACAAACCATTTCACCTGCCCGTTTCCATGGAGGCACTACTGTAAATAGTCCCCTGAAGCTCATC